TTTGTTTGAAAGAATATAACAGTCGATTAATGATAACAATACATTGCCGTTCGTACCTGAAACTAAACAATTTGACTGTTTTTTAACGCCGCACAGTTATATTCTAGCTATATGACGGCGGTCTGTAAATAATCGAGTCTGGACCAGACAATTCAGTGATTAACAGCATGAGCATCTACGTAGGGAACTAAACAAACCATTTGTTTCAAAAGCATTGAATATTACAAGTCAAAACAGCGGCTGCCAAAGGTTCTAGTAAGGTTATAACAGTTAACTTTAGGATAATACTTTGTATGTAGTAACACATTTCAAGTTTTCAACTTGCATTAGGTCATAGCAGCTTACATTAATGGCCACCATACCGATGTCATAGTGATAAGACGTCACAATATTGTTATTATACTCTTCACAAAAAATTAAGCAACAAGTACTTTCAGTGTGATATTCTATCAATCTCGATAGCGATTTTTACCGAGATGTTACTGAAAGGTAAATTTTAACGAATACTTTACCATTTGTGACAGTCAGGTTGATTTATCTGATAACATTGATAATGTGACCCGAACACAAGCACCCCCAGAAACAACATGCAAAATGTGTGGCATGGACATGCTGCATACTTCACACATGCACCCTCATCGGTTAACACCTACCAGGAACCTACCTGTAATCATTCCTCTGGCACAACAAGCGGGTCCTAACTGCATTTTTATGGATGATATTGCCGTCTACATCGAGAAAGAGTTGTTAATGATGCTGTTCAGATCAACAACATCACACATATGGACTGGCTTGCAAGGTCACCTGATCTGAATCCCATTGAACATGCTTGGAGCATTATTGGAAGTCGTGTTTACGGTCTTCATGTTCTCCCCAGACTCTGGATGACTGACTGAGTTTGGTTTTACGCCGCTTTTAGCAATATTCCAGCAACATCACGGCGGGGGACACAAGAAATGGGATTCACACATTGTGCCCATGTGGGGATTCGAACCCGGGTCTTCGGCGTGACGAGCCAACGCTTTAACCATTAGGCTACCCCACCGCCCAACTCTGGATGAACTTGATCAGACGTTACAGAGCAAATTGACAGGCTCTTTTGGTCAATATCAAGACCTGTAGAAGCTTGCATTTGTGCTCATGGTGGTCATACGCGTTACTGAACACGGGTTCACTGTCCAAAACTGACTTGAACCTTAATGTTAACATTTTACTCCATCAATGCAGCGCATTTTGCACGGCTGTTAAACGGGTACATGTTTTCGATGATTTGTAAGTCTATGATTGCACACTACCATTTCATATCGTTTTGTTAATCATGTGTACATGCTTTTCCTTTTCTATTGCATCATTCAATGATTTGCAATTTCAATAAATGAAAATGTAATGAGACAAAAAATATGTTGCTTCACTTTTTGTGAGGAGTATATAAGTTGTATGCTTCTCTCGAGAGTAACACGGTCTGATGTACGCCTGTCGGCTCGGGTGACACTGCTACAAAGAGGCGTACATCAGACCGTATTACCCTCGAGAGAAGCATACAAGGTATTTATCTTACCGCCAGTTTAAATGTACAAAAAATCATTTTATTTTATTTAGAAAATCGATATGTTCACTACCGACTACATGACATATAAACAAAATGGCGTCTGCCTCTCGACCGGTATTAAATCAGTGAAACATATTCTGACAAGCTTAAAACTGCTATGAAAATGGTTACCGTAACCGTACATTTCGAGTACTTTGTTAGAATAGATGGTGTTTCTCATTAACACCCGACACAAAAATTCAACTCGACCCTAAGATTCTCTAATATCTTTTACACAACTTTGAATCTCAAAACGTGCATGACTATTTCACATTTCTAAGTACTAAGTTTCTATCGGAGAAAAGGTGTAAATTTGCACAGGAAATCAAGGGGCTTTGGATGCAAAATAAAAAAAATAAAATCCGCCCGCCCAATATTTTATTTGAAAAAGTGATGAGAAACAAGAATTTTATTCTTAAGTGGCTTTACTCAGATGAATCATTATGCATGAGTGGCATAGTCCATTACGTTTCAGAGGTGGCTATAGATTAGTGCACGCCAGACACGTTAGCTAGACGTGTAATTTGCCGGGCTCCAAAGACACAGCCACCAGAAAGCAAGCATCGAATATTGTTCGATATTCAGACGGAATATAATAATATTTTGTAACGATTTTCGCGTATGAGTGATTGACACCGTGATTCTCAGAAGCCGCGGGGGAGTGTCACGTGCTCCGATGTAGCTCGTGAATCTCGTGCACTTTTCATCCCCACCGCATGTTTCTGTTCGCGCCACACCAGCCTGATGACAATTCAACGCCCAGTTTGGTGGAGCCCTTCTCATTAACCATTTCAACGGTTGTTGTTAAATAAACTGCACACAGACCGGCGTGGAGGTCTTGGAACAACACGTGTTCCGCGTGCAACGGAAGGATCCATTTCCCCTGAACCTGGAGCAGAACGAGGTGAACGTGAAATCCGTGCTGAACGTGTTTTCCGCCAAGTCTGCTTCAAACAGAGCTGTTGCCCGTGAGAGAACCTTCCACCTCAGCTGTTGTTGTCACTGCCTGGATTGTACAGAGCAATGGGTTCAATGTTTGTTCAGTTGTAAACACCGAAGTCTCTATCCTATACTTTGTCCTATCTAACCCAAAACTTTCTGTTTCAGATAACACTTTATGTTATAAACTACTATATACTATGCTATAAACTAAAGAAAGTTATCAATTTAAAAGTAGCCTAATTGTATGAATAAAAAACAAAAAACCACGCTGGTACAGGTTTGAACCAAAGTAGAAAAACATTCGCCAAAACGCAACATGGCCCCCCGATAACAACGCAGCTGTGAGAAAACCTGTGGGACAGTGGTCCGAAAAATTGTGGAACAGTGGTCCAAATGCACCTCATGACATTGGCAGAAGTACGTATGTTGGACAGAGCAAGCATGCAGTATTAAAAGGACCACCCCCTCGAATATGCCAAGACTTACGCAAGCACAACGAGACAGGGCAATCGGTATGGCCAATGTGCGGGTTGGCAAGAACCTTCAACTGCTGCCAGGCCACCAACAACAAATTGATAAACCGCTACCAGCAAACAGGCCAGACCCAAGACCGCCTAACATTGGGAAGACCAAGAGTCACGACACCGGCCAAAGACCGCTACATCCGGCAGATCCACCTCGGGGACAGATTCGTGACGGCGACGACAGCACTAGGACACGCCATCAGCAGACGCACAGTCCCTCGACGACTTGGTATGGCCTTGACCCGTCTACACCGTCAACGCAGACTGCAATGGGCACGAACTGTACGTCGGTGGTAGCGACGTGACTGGCAGATAGTTTTCTTTACAGATGAAAGTCTGTTCTGTCTGGCAGATAGCAGGTGGAAGAGTTCGAGATTTTCGACGTAGAGGAGAGCGACTGGCGCCAAACTGCGTTCAAGAAGTTCATCCGTTCGATGCAGGAAGCGTCAGTGGCGTTATGGTATGGTGTTGTCTGTGTGGCCAGGGAACAAGAAGACTGGTTACCATCCAAGGAAATCTGAATTTCCAGCGATACGAGGATGAAGTGTTTTTTTGTGGAACCCTTTATTCGACAACAGCCAAGAGGACAATGCAAAGCTTCATACTGCCAGAATTGGTCGAGAATACATACCTGCACAATGTTAACGTCAACGTATTGCCTTGGCCAGCGCGTTCTCCAGACATGAACCCCATTGAACATCTCCAGGATCATTTGATAGTCCTGAGACAGCGTGGCAACCGCCAGCGAACCGACGGGAACTTGAACAAACACTCTTCGACTAATGGAGCAGGATTCCTGCTGACGTCATCCGCCGACTGACGACGTCAATGAGGCGTGTGTTGGCGTGTATGGATGTCCACGGTGGTCACACTTGCTTCTGATGACGTCTCCTCTGACTCCTGTCTGATAATGTGACTCTTTATACACTTTTTAAATTATTGAACTCTGATTTGTGTAATTTTGAAAAATTACCCCTTGACTCTTTCTCAATTAATTGCGGCAAATGCAAAACCAGCATTACAATGAAGTTTCAGTCAAATTATTGCAAAATGATTTCTGTTTGTCAAATAATTATGATAAATCTAACATACGTCTTTGTTTCTATTTTTGGGTCAAGTAAAGTGAACTTTCTTTTGCCCGGTAGTTTAGTTATTAAACCGTATTATTGCCACAGGAATTTCATCATCTACGCAGATTAATCGTTCATATACTTACATGATCTAGTACATCTCATTATGTATTAAAATCTTGCGTATCGTTACTTGCGGGGGCGGTGGTGTAGCCTGTGGTGGTTAAAGCGTACGCGTCACACCGAAAACACAGGTTCGATTCCCCATATGGGTACAATGTGTGAAGCCCATTTCTGGTGTCCCCTGTCGTGATATTGCTGGGAAAATTATACAAGCGGAGTAAAACTAAACTCACTCACTCACTCGTTACTGACGCCGTGATATTGTCTGGCGAAGCTGCGACCCTTGCTGGATATAGTTGACACAATATATACTCAGTAGCAAAAAACAACGTCAGTACGAATTCAAAAATAGATAGTCACTGTAATCAAATCGGCAACCAGTTCTTAGATACAACTTCTCCGATTGACAGTCGATGCTGAAACGCCATCTTTATTTTCAGGAAGGATAGCGTCCGGTTACTAAGGATACGTTCGATTATGAGGGGGCAGACTAGAAAGGCGCAGTGACGCCAATACATTGTGACGTAATGCAAAAAAGTGCACATTATCGCCTGATAAAGTACTGTCGGCGCTTTTGATCTTTCACCAAAGCATCTTAGAAATTGACATAATAAGCGGATCAAAGAATGTTTTTGTGTACAGTATCTTGACACATCAATGAATAACTCAGCACAATTTCAAGACATTACGTAAACGTTTGCAGTCCATTCAGACTCTTGACTTCAATATCTAGTTTGACCACCACGAGCGGCAATAACTGCAGCACAGCGTCTATGCTTGGAGTGCACCAATCGATTGATGAAGGCCATTGGCACCTTGAACCACACTCTGAGAAAAGACTGGAGCAATAAATCGGCTGTTATGCAGTCTCCTCTGAATTTCATCCGAAATATGTTGAATTGGGTTGAAATCAGAACTAAGGGCTGGCCACTGCATAACGTTGACACCGTTCTGCTGTAGGAAGTCCCGTGTATCTCTGGCAGTATGGGCCAGGGCGTTATCAAGCTGGAAAATGTTGTTCCGGTGACGTGCGAAATGTGGTATGACGTGGGGTCTGTGAGAGCTTGGTCGATGTAGCGCACCGCTGTGATGCCGCCTCCTGTCCCTGGGCCAAGGTTCTGGAACACCCCAAAACCCACTTTCTGGTTCAGGCCTATTCCACCCCATACCACGATGCTTGCACCTCCCTATGAGTCTCTTTCCATAACACATTGGTCTGGGTAACGCTGGCCACATCGTCGCCATATTCTTGTTCTGCCATCTGCAGTTGATACGCAGTACCGACTCTCATCTGTGAACAGAACAGTTCTCCACTGCCTGTATCGCCAGTTTTGTTGTTGTAGGGCAAACTGTAGACGTTCACGCCGATGAGGAGGGGTGAGGATAGGTCCACAGTAAGGTCTACGGCAATGGAGGTTCCCGCTGTTAAGACGCCAGCATACTGTATCAGTACTGATTGGTCTTCCGTGTGTTCCCATTGTCTGGCGTGCTGTTTCAGATGCCTGCAATGAGGGATTCTGTACTTGCTGTCGCACAACATGTCGGTCTTGTCATCTTGTGGTAAGCCTTGGTCTGCAAGTACGGGGGCGATTTGTGGTGTTGGTGGCCCGGAAACGTTGCTGCAGCCTGTAGATGGTCCGAACGTTGACCTTGAAGTGATTGGCAACGGCTTGTTACCTTCTCTCGGAGTAGATTATTGCATACCATGTACGTAAATACAAGTATAATCTACGTAGAGAAATGTAAAATGTCCCTTGTTCATAGGTGAAAGTGATACTATCTTGTTCGTAGATGATATGTTTAAAAACTGTGGCACGAATACACTTCCATACATAGTTACATCATGACACCAGACTGTCATGGAGCTCACCCACTCACTCACCCACCCACTCATCACTCAAACTCACCCATCCATCCACCCACCCACCACTCACTCACTCACTCACCCACCCACTCATCACTCACATTTACCCATCCATACACCCACCCACCCACTCATCACTCACACTCACCCATCCACCCACCCACTCATCACTCACACTCACCCATCCAAGCTATCCCATCCACCCACTCACTCACTCAGCCACGCATTCATCACTCACACTCACCCATCCACCCACCCACTCACCCACCCACTTATCACTCAAACTCAACCATCCACCCACCCTTCCACTCACTCACTCACTCATTCACCCACCCACCCACTCACTCACCCACCCACTCATCACTCAAACTCACCCATACACCCACCCACCCACCCACCCACTCACTCACTCACCCACCCACTCATCACTCAAACTCACCTATCCTCCCACCCATCCACTCACTCATTCACCAAGTCAAGGGTTCACACCAAGTAATATGATGATTTGGTGATATTTTGTTTTCACTGTCGAATGTCAGTCATGTGACCGTTTCTTCTAATAGCTGACGAAGATGACAGCGTGACAACGGCACTGCTGAACGCTACTGAAACTGTTTTGGCGTGGAATCTGATTCGTTATTTTTTTCAGGTGACAGTCCAAACCTTTGAGTTCAACTCTGTTTTACTTTGCGTTACGACAAGGGATGTAATCAATAGGTAGTTATTTCTTCCAACATCTTTTGAAGTTGTAACATTGTAAACCCACACATACATTTAGTCCTAGAAATAAAGATATCTTTTAAAAAAAAATATGTAACAAATATGTATCGATAAAACAAATCAAAATGGAGCACAGAACAATCTGTATTTTTTAGAGGAAGGGCATTCTAGACTTTCCAAATCATTCTAGATCCGAGTATGGCACCTATTTGAAATATTCCCAAAGTTGTTGGAGACAGAATAGGGTGAAAACGTCATGGATGAACATAGCTTACACAGTGACTAACCACTCACGATTTCTAATACATTCCTTGTGATATTTCACATATCGGGGCTTATTTTCGTGTATCGAATTCATCACCATGAGAAACATTAAAGTAATTCCATAAATAATAAACATTCATGAACAGGGTTGCGTAACAATCAGAGACCTCAAAATAAAGCGACCTTTTAGACTACAGAATAAACGAGAAAAGATTTTTTTTTCATTTTTCCAGTATATATCGTTTAATTTTAGCGTCATTCTCATGTTATGCGGAAAATACGGAGGCTGTTCCATGTTTTCTTCTCAGATCAAAATAATGTTACAGTTAAATTTTATCGGACTAGACGACAGAAGAAGCCATATGTTATTTACGCTTCAGAGTAGATCAGATCGTATGAAATATCAGGAGGCTTTTTAAATGGGTGAGTCAGCGTAAGTATTATAGAAGCTACGTTTCACACAATGTAGAGATTGTTACTTTTAGAATGTAACATCTTTCTACTAAATGTCACTTTTCAATGTTTTATGAGATTATATGCTGGGTGTTCTTTGTGTTCGAGTAAACAAGAGCTGTAAACAATTCTTTATCTTGAGAAAAACTATGAATTACAGTAAGACGATAAGGTATTAGTGCTTGAGGTATTAACTTTATAATTAATGCGGGTGTTCGATTGCGTCAGTGCGTGATGCTCCTAGAAGAAATATAATAATGCTTAGGGCTGCGCAATATAACCGGTTTACCGGTATTTATCGGTTCAGACATGAAAACGATACGTATTGCGATATGCTGATCGGAAACCGGTATTTTGACTTGCATTCGAAAAACTTCGTAACACTCAGAAATCTTCGAATATTTCCTTGTTTCATTTGTGCCAAATATTCACATTTCTATTTTATCATGATTAAAAGTTGTTATTAAAGCTTAATCAAGCATAGTGATTTTGCTGTGTTTTTGCTCTATGAATGAAACATTTACTCGATTATAAGTAGTTGTTTTTTTTTAAATACTTCATGCAATATATTGCAATACATATCGCAATACATGCTTTCGCATCGCAATATATCGCAATACGAAAATTCTCTGCAATACCCACCCCTAATAATGCTGGAAGAGGTTTTCATAGCCTGCTCACGCACTTTTGAGGGTGAGATTAATGCAAAACTGTATCCGGAAAAATGGTGTAATATATAGTCGTAAGATTCAATAAAGTTGAAAACACTGATCTTCAGCAACACACATTTGGTGCACATATGAATGAAAACTGAGGGGATCGGGTGGTCAGGTTTGATGAAATGGTTGACGTATTTATGCCATCCTATTCCAACTCCGAAGATCTGTGCTCATGATGTCAGTCACTAAACTTCAGGTCCAGACTCGACATTTTACAGATATGTATCCTCTGGCTTGAATATTACTGAGTGTATGTTTAACAACAAACTTAGAAATGCTTTTGGAACGTCCATCCTCAGCTGTGAAGACCCGTGAAGATCCGGGTTAGAATTGGTCTTCAGTAACCCATGCTTGTCACCAGAGGCGACTAACGGGATTAGGTGGTCAGGCTTGCTGATGGTGGACACATGCCATCGTATCCCAGTTGCGTAGATCGATGCTCATGTTGTTGATCACTGGATTGTCTGGTCCAGTCTCGATTATTTACAGATCGCCACCATGTAGCTGGAATATTGCTGAGTTCGGCGTTAAACAACAAACAAACAAACAACCATAACGGTAACAGTTCAGGAGGCGAAGCAGTCCATTTGAACAGCTGGTGTCCAAACCTACAATTGAAGGTCTTCTTTCATGATGGATAATGCAATATTCATATTGTTTGTACCGCTGATACATTTATTCATGATATGAATAAATTGTGAATGCCTCTCAACCATATACATTTCAAGCCCACGCTGTCAGCAAGATAAATGCATTCTTGGTGGGCATTTACATGAGTCAGATATATATATGAGTCATAACAGGTGCTAGGTCAACAAAAAGAAACAACAGCCTGTCACTTTCAATGTAATAGTGTCACCAGAGCAGGATGACATACTGTGTTTGTTCCGTCTTCACAGCTGTCTACTAAAGTAACACTGGAGCGCTTGCGACGTCTTCGGGTGAATGGAGTCCTCACAGCCTTATCGATCGCCAGGTCAAATTGATAAGATTGTTTGGCGATATCGGACATTTATTTTGTTGTAAGATGACCGTGCGCTAATGACACGATACCCATAAACAAGTTTGCCTGACTTGTTAACTGGCTAGACACCAATTATAAACTACCCAATAGACATCGCGTTTGACCAACTGAAGAACAACTCACTGATAACCAGGTTCAGCCATCTCGTCTCGCTGAAATCTCGTGGCCACGAGAAAGGCACACGGAAGAGTCAATATTTGCAGTAATCGGCTACCAATCATTGTCGTAGCTCTGAATGGTGCTTGTTATCGCGAGAGGTGTCCGAATAACTGTCTATTTCATAAATTTTCACAATTTGTTTCCTTGATTGATGAGGTTTGTACAAAGGTCAATAACGAATGGTCTCGCTGTAAGATCCTGAACTTCAGAATTCACCCAGAAACATTCTGCCCTCTGCAAGTCCAAACCTTGATGGTACATCCTTGTCTAATTCACACTTGGCCGGCACACGGTCTCCTATCACACACTAAAATACAACTGATTTCTAAGGGAAAGTCCAGACTATGATATAACCCTAAGATGCTCCACCTTATTTTCCCGATACTCGTGAATGCAGTTCTGACCAGACACGCTGTTCTTTACGAGACTGTTCTCTGGCATCGATGTAGAGTCCTTTCTTGTGATGTTCCTCTCAACAGATATCAAGCATGACATGAAGATACAATGTCACAGAAGGCCATATTCGCCAACCGTAAGGTCATCAGGCATACCAATACAGGCATGACACTGATGCTACAATGAAACTTGGCGGAGTGAATTATTTGCCGTTGTTTAACGCCGCACTCAGCTGTATGGGTGCAAATAATTTAGTCTGGACCAGACAATCCAGTGATCAATAACATGAGCATCGATTTACGGTACTGGAATAGAATGTGTCCATAAAGTCAGCGAGTCTGATCATCAGGCCCGATTTCTCGAAACAAACTTAAGTTTTTACTCAAATTTCAAACTGAGTTGGACAATTTGAAACAGCTGAATTTTTAACTCAACTGCATTTTTTAAATAAAAAAGCCCAAACAACTTAAGTAATCGATCCACCAAACTCAAACTGTCTACTATGTTTGAGTTTAATATCGATTTTAGTTCATTATGGGAAATGCATTTTTTTTCAAATTTGAGTAAAAACTCTAACTTAAGTCGAAACTCAGACTTAAGTTTGTTTCGAGAAATCAGGGCCTGATCCCTTTAGTCGTTTCTTACCACAAGCATGGGGTTGCTGAAGCCCAACTTTAACCCGGATCTTCACGGATACGAGGATGTTCACTGGTTCTGCTGAAAAGTAGGGATTTATGAAGTAATGCATTTCTAATTTGTTGGGCTAAAACTGGTCTTCATCAAACCGTTCTTATGGTGTTAGCGCCTAACGGATTCGGGTGGCCAGGTCACTGACGACGGGGTTGCATGTCATCGAATGGACAATGCATGATGATGTCCTTTTAAGATCAGTTTAAGAAATCCGCAAACATTGTAAAAAGTGCTATAAAAAGTATCAAGTGACTGGGAGACTTTCTTTATGGACTTGACTGATTTCATGACGACACTTTAGTAATATGTAAACAAAAGAAAATCTTTAACCCAAGTTGATTTGCTTAGGAGAGAGATATGAGATAAAAATTTATTTTGGATCAGGACTTCAAAGCTTACTTTCTTTGCAAAAGCCAGCCAGATTTACTAGTTTCAATGTTTCATGAGTATTTTATCATGCCGAACTTTCAAGTGTAAAAATATAATCCCTAATTTGACATTTACAGGAGCCTTATCTCACGTCGTCCTTTTTGTTCTATAGTTTTACAGGGATATGTACCGGAAGTGAGTTATGCACCCTCATTGTAAGGACAAATCCTTAATCAATTAATAACACCTTCCTACAGAAACAGACACACACACAGCCATAATCTCGATCTGTATCTCAAGGGTTCGCATTTCGGTGAAAGACTCCTGCATCCATTCATATGGTACTAGAAATGCCACCCGCGAAGATCCGGGGTAGACATGGACTTCAGTAATCCATTCTTGTCGTAAGAGGTTAACTAACGGGCTCAGATGGTCGGGCTCGATGACTTGGTTGACACATGTCACCGTATCGGGCCTACACGGAAAAAATGGCTTGCTACGGGCCTGGGATTCCAGTTGCGTAGAACGATGCTCATGATGTTGATCACTGGAATGTCCAGACTTGATTATTTTAAAGCTGGAATATTGGTGAGTGCGGCGTTATGTTTTCAAAAAGTACGTTCAAGTCCGTTGCTGTCGTAATGACGACACAGCGTGTAACATGTTTCTCTTTCAGCCCCGTATATATTGCGTATATATTGCGTATATATTGTAAAACACCCCAATTCCAGGCCATCCCCTTTGTAGCTCTACCAACCAATACTCAGATACTTTTCAGCTCTGTGGTTTAGCTCGAAGGTTCCAGAGGGCGCTGGGGTAGAAATACCAAGATGTAATTTCCCGTCACATACGATAGCACTTAAGCATTAAAGGTCCACGAAACCAATTCTTTGTCAAAGTGTATAATACAAATATTATTAAAATGACCTCACATTACACTGCTACGATACAGCTCTTGCTAGATAAGCAACCAAATTATTTATGTGTAAATATTAAAAAAGGTAATTGTGCCCTGGAAAGATAAAAATGCTGTCTTATTTGGTTCATGTTAGACAAATGACAATCTAGTGAGGAATCAAACCAGTTATGCCTAATGTCAAAGTGGCATGGTAATATAACAACTGGAAATTAAGGAATTCATCCACCGAAAGAATTGCAAGGAATATATACCCAGAATGGAGCTAGACATATATTATATATTGTTATCGGGCGGGCGATTCGCATATGGTTATACCACGAAACCAAGTCTCTGATCCCTCCATTCTTTCTGCTGGACTAACCAATGTTGACTGATGTGAATATTCATACGAAATTACCTCGCCATAATGAGGGACTTTCTGGGACAGACCTGAACTCTAGTACTTGTCAATAGAGGCTGTGTAATGGTGTTCATTTCTGTAGCCTGTTTGGTACGGCCTATGCAATGTAACTCATCAAGGGCAAGAATTGTATTCACTTGCGGTTTATTTATGACGTTCATAATAAACATTGTACACTGAGATTAGGCAAATTGTACATGTATTTGACATTTTTCTCAAAATATGCTATTCACACAGAAAACTATGATGTGGGTTCAAATTTGGTTTAAATATCTAAGCCTTTTGCAAGCATGGATCCAAGTTTTCAGTATGTCACTGCATCTTGTGGATCCCTTGCCTGCTTTTGACAGGTGTTGTGTACTTGTCAATGACTCGTTCCACGAGTACCAAAATGATTGGTTGGTGACATGGTAACCATTTTTATGGTTACTCATGTATCAAGTGCATTCGGTTGTCTGTTTTCCTAAAGATGTGTTACCATATCATTATTTATCCAGTTTTTAATGGATACAATTTCAAATTATAAATCTACGTTTAAGTAAAGTTGCGAATTCTTGTGATCCTTAGCAAAGTGTGAGTAGTATACTCTAAGAATACGACATACATCTTTCATGGCTCTTCTTTGGTGTGACTAGCGTCAGAAACCTGTGGTTCGAATCCAGGGTCGACAATGGTTAGGTTGCTAGGTTTGACAGTACTGGTGACACCTCTGTTCCCACCTTCGCTCGCTCACTCACTCATTCACTCACTCACTCTCTCACACTCACTCGTGAAAAAGCTAAAATATCTGTCACTTCCATGGGTCACAATTGCAATAGACAGACATCTATCTCCCTGTCAAATGAACAGTACCACTACATGGGAACTCCAAACCCAGCGTATTGCCGATGTGACGTTAAATACTAACTCACTCACTCACTCCAAACCCAGCGGTAACATGTGACTGATTAGACATGTAGAATTGGCCACACACTGCATTTTGTCACGTCAGCTTGTTGTCTGACACCAGGTGCCACGTTTTCCAGGAACACCAGGTGTTAAATAAGGGAGGATAAACGCTGTGGTTTGTCACACAAAGTGTATGATACATGGGCCCACATGCTTGAGTGAGTGAGTGAGTGAGTGAGTGAGTTAAGATTTATAGTCACATTGGCAATATTTCAGCCATATTGTGACTTAAAAAGTTATAAATTAACAATAAACACAATTGAATTATAAACTAAAAAATAAAATAACTAGATTGTCACAGATAGAGAATTAAAACTGGCACGTAACTTTAAAGTTAAACAAATATTATCGACAGTACACTTTATAAACCGGCTGGCGATCACCAGCAACTGAAGGTAGATCACCATGCTGGGAACATGAGGACTTATTGTACGTTTGCTACCTGTATGGACCCTAGCTGGATTTAAATCTATCTGGCTGGCTACTCCAATTGCCATCATTCTAGATTTCAATTTCAAGTGATATATCATTTTGCATCACAAAAGATATAATGTGCATGGAGATATCACCAGTTCACTTTGATAAAGAGAGCCCTTAACCTCATGCCATCTCTAGATTCTCGACCCAGTCCTGATTAAAAAGTCGATTTTGAGACAATCGAAGCGAGACAATCGCGATAAATTGTTGATCAAAGTAGTCTGTTGTTTTGTCAAATGTTATTGGTCAAGGTCATGATTGACCTAATTTCTCAATCATCAATCTTATCACTCTCCATGCACTCCTTACCACGTCTCGATTCGGTCGTGATCAGAGATAATTTGTGTTCCCGATGTCCCGTCATTCTGATGACGATCCGGGATCTCCCTGTTCCTTACCTCTTGTCGACTTGACCATGTGCCGATTTGGTTGGGTCAGAGAGTTGTTTTCTCGACCACAAGACGATGTGACAACGATCAAGTATTTGTGTCGCAGTAGATGTTCTACTTTCATGATTACCGGAGCGGAAGCGAGAATCTAGGGTTGCAACTTAATCGATCTGAAATTCAGAAATGTGTATTTGCACCTTATATAATGCTCTAAATTAACCAAATGCTAATATGCAAGATGTCCTCTCGTGGTACACTTACTCAAGTCGTGATCTAAGATCCCTTTTAGCGATTCGTCTGTTCATGATGCAATTACTTAAGTCGTGATCTACACTCTGGGCACGCAATGCAAGATGTATTTTCTTGATGCATTCATTTAAGTCGTGATCCCTGCTCCCTGCACACGATAAAATATTTTTTATGATGCGCAAGATCTCTTCTTATGATGCATGTACTCAAGTCGTGATCACACGGTATCATTTCGTGATGCAATTACCCGAGTCGGGATCCAAACTCCTATCTGAGATGCAAGATATCTATTCGTGATCAAATCTCGAGGCGGGGTCCAAGATCCTTGGCCGTGAGCACTTGTTGGCCTCCTGCAAAACAAACATCTGTAAATCAAGCACAACATAAATCAAGCACAACTTAACATCAGCCAATGTGACAAATTTCACAAGCATCATGAACATGCGTCCACGTGGGAGGCTCCAAGAACAAACCATCCGCACTAATGAAAAGTTCAGTTTAGGAATGATTCCCGAGCCGAAAATGTCGGCAGCAGGGGGCAGCTAACTCCCCTCACCATTTCACTGGAGACCACTAAACATAAAACCCTCACATTATTTTCAATGAATTAACAATATATCAAAACGTCATTACTACATATTTGTCCAGTGGGTAAACATAATCGATCTGGTTGGCCAAGTTGATAAAAAGGTCGGAGTTATGATTATACCAGTGGGTGCCATGGAGATATATTCTTATAACAACGTACTTAATGCACAGACGGATCAATCATTACATGTCAAGACAGAGTGCAAAACACTTAACTGTGGCAGTTTGCAGTTGGATAAATGCTTTCCCAATCCTTGGTAAAATGTAATATTTATAGCTGGTCCCCATCTAGCACATACAGACTTTCTTATCGCGTGTTCAACTGAATACGTCTGAAAGCACCTGCTCTGTAGGGGATAGCAAGATTGACTTTTGGGTTATTTCTAAGTTGCATTTGGTTTAAGTCGGTACGTGTTTCCTTAACTTTATATGCTGCCATTTCAAGCATTTTCTTTCAGGCTTGACTGATATTGAAGAAACACTTATTTGACATCAATGTGTGGAAGCATGATGTTACAGCAGGTAAAGATATATAAACTAATACTGCGAGGTTTAAATGATGATTACGGTTTTTATGCGTCTGGTCCGAATATACACATCTGGCGTGCTTCCAAGAAGATAATTAAATCAACATTTCTGTATTTTCTGTTGTATTTGTGTCTTCTGATAAACACTGTTCGTGTTCCACATGGTTTTAACATGGCATATCTACAAAAATATGGTGGATAATAGAATTGTCCACATTAAGCTACACAGTCAAACCATCTGTTGTTTATCTATTCGGACGGGGACCCACAACAGTAACTACGGACATGATTGAGTCTCCTGCACTGATGATTTCAACCTTAGTTAAGGTTTGGGCTAAGTGTTCATCTCACGGTCGAACTTTAACTTTCTTTAAAAAAGAAGCTACAGATGGTAGTCTATAGGTGGTGATTGATAGCGAGAGTGAACCGGATTGTGAAAGTAACTGTCGTCTAGATATGTACGTTGTAAAGTAAGCAAACCAAACTAGATAGCATATAATTGTATAAACAATTCAATTAAAACATGAAATGATTGTTTTTTTCACAAGTGTTGTTTTCCGGGACAGGTTCTGTAACGAATGCATGCATGCATGCTTCACACGAACGCAAATCAATAACAATCTCTGCTCCTCTATTTAATGAAGTTAACTCGACCTGCCGTTTGTGCCATTTGAGCTCCCGGATCATGCATATGAAGAATAGCTCAGGTCAAGGTGAACAAGCTGTAGCTTTGTGCAACGGGTGTAACTTTTTGTTCAGTGTTTTTTTTCTGAAGGCCTTGATCGTGCCCGTTGCTCATTTTGAGAACATGTCAAAAGAAAAGTGAACAGCTGTAATTGATTAGAGACCTCAGTTTTATTGCTGGAAACCAAATGAAAATCATTACATCTCTAAGCCTTGTAAGAGTTAACATAATGACATCATGTTGCGCGCGGTGCGCCATTTAGCTCATGAATGTGAGAGATTATGACCAAATAGTTTAATGTTTCAAGCGACGCCAGTAGGGTGAAACGTTTCACAATGAAGGAAAAATCATGACCACTCTGGAATGAAAGTTGAAACATTTAAGGTGAACATATGAATAATAAACAGTTATTCATAATCGTGGGTACTTTGTCTGGATGCAAAAGGGTCTAAACCCATTGCCTCTACGCCCTAACACTACCTTTAAGTGCGCGTTGCCTTCATCGGCTCTGGAGAGGATTTTATCGAAACATGTGATCTGTTAATTGGCAAACGTTTTTAATTGGATAAGTAATATTACGCTACGTTACATACGTACCATGAAGGAGTAAAGGAGATGTCCTAAGGGTGAGTGTATTATGGCATCGTGATGGGAAGCATCCTTAAACTCATGAATGTGGGAGATTATGAGCAAATATATCAATGTTTAAAGCGAAGCCAGTGGGGTTAATCGTTTTCTGAGGAGAAGTTGTGAATGCTGAAGAGTTGTTCCTTATTGTGGGTAATTTGCCAAGATGGTAAAGGTTGTAAAATGCTTGCCTCTATTCAATGATACAACCTTTAAGTTCTTGCTGCTTGTTTTGGTACTCATCAGTATTTTATCATGAAATTTGATATGTTAATTAGCAAGCATTTTCATGGTATAATTGGTGTTGGGCAACATTTATTAAATATTTGTCTTGGTGGAAGAGGTTCTAACTTCCCTGACCCTACAGAATAATATAACTTTAAGTGCATCTTGCTTGCCTTGGCCCTGATAGAGGGATTTTATGGAGTCATTTGACGTTTCATATTTATAACATTCGATGTTGTCTATCCATTAGCATTTCAAATACAAAAAGGGCAAGTTTATGCACTCTTTCTCATGGTGTCTTGTTTTTCGTTTTGTTTGTGATTATGGCGGTTGTGTTTGCATAGGTGGTCCTTAAAAGGGCACAATTTGAAATTGTCCACTAATGTGATTTCCAAATACACTGCCACGTAATATCAAACACACACACATACACACACACGCGCGCGCGCACGCACGCATGAACGCACGCACACACACACACTTTCCTGGTGGGTGGATGAAGTGATACAAACCAGAATTGTTTCTTTGTTGTGATGCATTTAATGTTGGTATCGTCTACGTGTTTCGAACCTTTAGTTTGGAATGATTCATCGACGGTTTTCCCTGGTAAGCCTATACAATTCTTTTAATAAATTTAATAGATTTGGTTCAACTGTTGCGCCAATCAGAATGCTGCGAGGGTAATACAGGAAGAATGTTTCAACAGAGATATGCTGAGTCTTCAGATATCAGGATAAGGAATACCAGACGATTTGGGTCAGTTGGGCACGGTTGGAAAACAGATTACCAGATCATTGTCTGACTGACAGACTGATAGATGGAGGGACAGATAGACAGGTTGAGCAACACGGAAAAAATATTGAAAAGATATGTCGATTGTTGCCAGAAGGATAGTTGTAGCATCCCAGTACCCCAGTGTTATCGGAATGTTCTTATTGAACGTTTAAGTCTCAGCATCTGACGAGTCTGGACACTGCTGATAACCGTCATGAGAAAAGGTCTACATGAATCACTGCCCTACACTGATAACACCTGGTGTTCACGGGAGCTGAACTCGTCTTAGTCAGCTGGTGATCATGATCATTGTCTCAACGGAGTTATATACTATTAAACAAAGAAACGCATAACCAAGAAATCTGTTGCGAAAATGTTGTATTTTCAAGCATGTATAACTCGTCTACAAATAGACTTTAGTACATGAATCTTTTGCATTAGGTTAGAAGAAGGAAATGTCTATACAACCAAGTGGATAATTTTAGATAACGGACACGTTGAGCGCGATGGTGACGACGTAGCACGGTCCCGACGTCGGGGCTCCTGGCTCTGAGTCCAATCTTTCTCAACCTGTTCCGCACAGTTTGACCGGATATCATCCGAAGTCCAGGCACCCTGGCTGCTGTACTCTCACCCGTGGCAGTAGGATCACGCAAATGTAGTACCCGGATGTACCGATCTTTGCCTGCAGTGGTGACTCGAGGTCTGCCTGTACGGGGGCGGTCATTTGTTATACCTGTTTGGTAGTAAGGAGCTGCAATCGTGATATCGTGCTCAGACTAACATTCAGACGCCTGGCAACAGAAGATTGTTAATCTCCAGCGTTCATTCTTTCAATGGCGATGTCCCATTAGCGTAGTCATTTGACCTTGAAACTCCTTCAAAATTTCCGAAAAGTAATCTGATCTTTTTTATCCAGACAGTGCATGCTCTTTGCTGCACAATTTCAGCTGGAACGTGATTGCTGTTGCGTTGTGGCGATGCCTTTTTAATCCTTGTAAGAAATCTCATGAAAATCAACATTTTCAGGTAATGTCGATATTTTACTTGTGCAATTGTGTAAAATCATGTTATCAACACTTTGGTTACATATTTTGACGATTGCCTGAACACAATAGGTAATTAATAGATTTTTTAAAATGCAAAACGTCTATTCGTTTCTTTTTTGGGATAGTATATATTGAATATATATTGTTTACATATGTATTCGTGTAGATATTGTCCTACTTATATATACACAAAGAACTTACTTAAGCACCCCGTGACACATCTCACGATTGAATGAGCCCCGATCTTACCCTCTGGAGCATATCTGGGACATGATTGGTCGTCGTGTGCAACAAAGGGATCCACCTGTAGAGAACCTGACCCAATTGGAAGCTGCTTTACACCAGGAATGGCGTAGACTGCCCCTTCAGAGGATCAGGAGGCTGACAGGGGTGTATTATGAGGAGAGTGCTGGCTGTCATGCAGTCACATGGAGGTTATACTCGGTATTGACCCTGAATCGTGTAAGACACGCAAAATGACATCTTGAATGTTCACATTCACCAATACATTCAAGATTACTCATGCCAGGGCAATACTTGTACCAACATGGTTTTGTATGAAATCAGTGATTTCTTAAATGAGCAATTGTCATCATGAAATCAACATGGATGCCAATCATTTTGTCGTTTTTTTATGAGTCAAAGGATCATACGGGTTAGTTTTATGTACGTGGTGAAAACCTATCATTGCAAAAATACAGGGGTGCTTAATTAAATTCTTTGTGTATAGAATGACGACATCCAGTTACTAAATTTATTTAAATGATGAAAGTAGTATTATTGAAGATCTGATTATGATATTATGCACATCAAAATATCACGTATTCACCATATTTAAATACACTATGATTCAGGAGTTTGTAGACTCCAATTTCGAGATAAGTGTATTAAATCTATGATTAAAACACACAAAGGAGATATGAACTGACGGGAACATAACAGCTGTCACTCACGTGGACTCTAAGTACATGTGATCGTATATCTGGTGGTTATTTGCATTGCATTTCAATTAATTTTCTATTGACTAACTCTTCGCCTCCGAGGTGTTGAGTTTGATAATAGACACAGCTGTGTTGGAATGATAACACGTGTCAGTATGTCAAATATGTTTAACAAAAAGGCATAAAGTGAAAAATGGCTTGACTTGAATCACTTTCATTTGGGTGCATAAGCCCATTCTCTTGTAATCCCATATGTAGTAACGGAAATAATGTTATTTTATTCAGACATATGTATCTATTAACATGAAGAAAATGGGCAAAGTTTTACGAATATTTTATGACAGTATATGTTATTGGAAATTAGAAAATATTGCAGATCTGCTAGACTAGTGACCACTGACCACGTTCCAGTATCTTAAAGCTCCCAAAAGGTCACACTGATAACGAGCATCGGACAGAATCCGGGATCAGTATCTCTTTAGCTAACAGAGCCAAGGTGCAGTGCGTTTATCTGTATTGCATGCTAGTATTCCACGTTGGTCAAATAACGCGCGTGCGTAACTTTATCGTAAGTTTAATCCGTAAATGCGATTATCTGCGAAAGCTGGAAAAGTCACAAATCATTTGCTGACAGTCTAATAAACACGTCGTTTATTCACTCAGGTCTTGTGTTGTGTGTGGGTTGATATAGTAGTAGCGGATTACCCAAATATATCAACATACATTTAAACAATGTCTAATTGCAGAAGCTGAGACGATACAGACTTGGCTAACAATCGAGACTTGAGTCCGAATCCTTTGTGGATTGACTGTTGGGTCTGGGAGACTAATTGTCATAGATCGTAGTTCTGGTCGTTTTACGACGGGGAGGTTACGTGTAATAATGATAATAATAATAATAATATGTCTATTTATATAGCGCCAAACTCAACACCAGGTATGCTCATAGCGCTAGCAATCAAAGCACAGCACATTATAACAAGCTGCCTGTTAGGCGCTAGAAGGTTATAGTCACATGATTATCCCACCGGGTACCCATTTTCTACCGGGTGAAGAGAGGCATTTTTGAACAAACTCACTTGCCTAAGGTGAAACCACATGTATCACGTATGCTTCTTGTGGTGCAGGACTGAAGTCCTAGAAACTCTCAGGAGTCAAGCTGCCAAACACGGTCACCCATCCAAAGACACTCCGCGCCCATCGTTGCTAAACTTCAGCTTATTTGTGACCTGAACTCTATGCAAAGGACCACACACCACCATTACATTTACATATGCCATCGCCATGAGTCGAACACTGTCATTTAGTTTGAGGAACTAACGACATGAGGTCACAGAGATCAGCTCTGTCACTGATGAACAAGCAAAAATGACCTTTTGAACCTGCAGATCTTCATAATCCGGGCAGATGATAACAGCAGGGGTCAAAGACCCTGATTTACGGACAACAATCGAAGTGGGGTATTGAACAATACACATGGAGCATGAACTGCACGTGCAGTATGTCACATATCAGCCAATCACGTGTCTGATCAAAGGAAATTTAATCGTCCAATGTACACGGAACGCTTAGTGTCCGAAGACAATGTCCAGCTATAACAGTTAAAGTCTGTTAAGCAACAGGATCGGGAGAAATAAGCCGTTTAAATTGGAGATTGGTAGTAAACAATTTTACCAATTCGTTAGTTTTCCAAAGTGTTCTTTCAAGTCCATTACTGACGTTATGACGACCCATTGTGTAAATTGTTTTTTCGTCAGAGCGTATATTTTGTACAACATTTTCCCCCATTTCCCTCATCGCCCTTTCTAGCTGTAATATACTGAACATCATTGAAAACGCACCAGTCTAAAATTGTCCATATTTTCATCAAGATGGATTTCAGCATGACAATGATCAATGAATATAACTAACATGAAGTCGAAGGGCATGTCCAGTTGAAAAAATACTTTAGAAACAAATTCCTGTCCACAGTATGACTCTTAATTCCAAAATGCATCAACATGCAGCCACGCCATGAAAAAAGCGCGAATTTCATTCTGAAATCATACTGACTGTGACATTAAGAGCAGGTGTATGAGAACCGATTCTCATTGCTTCACTAACGATTGTGAAACGAGGACAGAGATGCCGAGGTTAACACCTCACGAAAGAGAACGTGCACTAGGCATGATTCAGGTGGGCACCAGCAGCAGGGATATTGCTCGACAACTTGGACTTGGCCACTCCACCATCGTTAGGCTTCATAGACGACATCAGTAGACAGGCAGCACCCGTGACCTTCAGTGACCTTGGCACCAACGTGTTACGACGCTCAAGGAGGATCGCCATATTGACCTTGTCCATATCAGTGATTGAACATTGCCGACTGCCAGGACTGCTGCACTAGTTCAAGGTTGACGTGGGGGTCATCAGCGCTGACTCCATGCGACGCCGTCTACACGCTACAGGGCTCCATGCTCGACGTCCTTACGTTGGACCAATTCTGACTGACAGACACCGTAATGAGCATATACAATGGGCTAGCAGGCATTTTCAGTAAAGGTTACAACAATGGTGTGGTAGTCACTGTCGAGTCAAGTGTTCACCTTCGTAATGCTGACGGCCGATTACGTGTTTGGCGTAGACGTCGTGAACGTTATTATGATGAGTGTGTGCTTCAGACAGACCTTTCGGTGGTGGGAGTGTCATGGTCTGGAGTGGAATAAATTACAATCACAGGACTGCCTTCATGTCTGTCAAGGGAGAGTTAATGCCCTTTATTACCGTGAGCAGATTCTTCAGAATCACATCGTATCTGTCTTCAATCACCACCAAGATGTCCATACTTTTCAACAGGACAACGCACGGGCACACACAACAAGACTTTCCATGCAGTATCTGGCCAAGCAACACATCCAGGTTATTCATTGGCCAGCACAGTCGCCAGATGTATCCCCCATGGAGCACTTGTGGGACGAAATTGGTCAAAGTCTTTCGCGGCGACAACAGATGCGAAACATCCGGAACTTGAGACTGCACTTCTGCAGAAGTGAAATGCCATCCTCAAGAACTCTATTCGGACGCTTATTGACTCAATGAGGAGACGTTGAACCGCCATGTGTCAATGCAAATGGCGGTCACACGCGATATTGACTTTTCGATTTGACCCCACGTGTGTTTGATCCTTTCTGACTGTGGAACATTTCAACGAATGAGCGTCTTTTCTGTGTTGTTGTTTTTGTCAGTCGTCCATCTGTTATTATCCACTCAAAAAATATCTATTCCTTACACGTGCTTTTAATAATCTGAACTTTTATAAGTGGTACGTTTTCAGTGATGTTCAGTATATCAATGCCCATCTACATTTCTGCTTTGTGGTTCAGCTCGAAAGTTTCTAAGGGCGCTGGGATAGGTTAAAGCGTTCGCTCGTCACGCTGAAGACCCGTGATCGATTCCCTGCATGGTTACAGTGTGTGCCCATCTCTGGTGCCCCCCTGCCGTGATATTGCTGGACTATTGCTAAAAGCGGCGTAAAACTAATCTTACTCACTCAAAGGTTTGTTAACAAAATCACTATTTTCCTTCAGTTTCAGAAAAATGCCTATTGCCAAACGTATTTGGGGGATTATATGTTGATATAACCAAAATGATATAAATGCAATTAAAATTAAATTAAATTCATCTTATTTATCTAAACGTCTGGATGAAAATGTTCCCTTGATCCGGTTGAGGACGTTTACAATTGGCATGCTGAGTAAGGACCTGAGACTCAGTTCATCATCACATATGCACCTATGTTCCCCTAAGTATGAGAGACGCTGGAATAGCCTAGTGAGTAAAGTGGTCGCTCGTCACGCCGGAGGTCCGGGTTCGATTCCTACATTGGTACAGGGTGTGAAACCTATTTCTGATGTCCCCAGCCATGATATTGCTAAAAGCGGCGTAAAACTGAACTCACTCACTCACTTAAGTATGAGCTAAACCTCCAATCATTCACACTTGTATTGATGCTCTGTCTTATGAAACCATCCATATATCCATGAATACGAAAAGATAAAAATTCCCGTCCCTTCTGGAGGGGATAGAAAGATAGACTTCCGTCATTTCTGAGATATACTTGGATTGAAACAGCTCGTGTTTATCTGACATTTTTGACTATGGTTGGAGGAAGTGATTTCATACAGATCAGACTAATATTGACAAAAACACTTATTTGCCATCATCACTTCGGGACCTGAAGACAAAGCCGACGAATATATTGGGTTAAAATGAGATTTTAATGATGATTGGATCTTTTCAAGTCTATTCTGATTATTTACATATCTGGCAATCTTTTGACATGACATACAGATCGACCTTTCCGTAAGTTTCATTGGTATTGAGACTAAAACTGTTCGTGTTTCACAAAGGTTTTAAGCTGATATGATATTGCCAAAACATACTCAAGCTAGACATTATCAACTTAGCCCGACTATATACTTATCCAAGATGATCCTCTTGTAAGTAGACATCAAAGGGTCATTTCCTTAATCGCCCAAATGATTATCCGGTTTTCGTGCTGTTTCAATTTTATACCGTCATAACTGGAAGACTTAAGACAGGCGAGGATAGAAATAGAGTGTGTTTGTGGTGTATTTAGGTATTGTTTTGCATTAAAGGTTTAGAGGATCACACTATGGCTACCTCGCAGCTCGCATACCGTGTCCTGAACAATGTTTTCGGCTCAGTGGTATGACCCTGTTAGTCATAGAGGAGTTCATCGAGAGTTACTCGATGACAGGAAGGCAGGAAGTAACACGTGACTGAAAATCGTTAGAAAAGATTTACTTCTCTCTACCCAACGGACGTTCTACAACAAGTATGGTATCTCGAAAAACATTGCAGTGGCATGTCACTTGCAGCCAAATCCACCCTCTTTCAATTGCTATTCACTCACTAACTCACTCATTCAGTACATCGTGAAGCCTCATTAAGCAGGGTCCGAGGTACCCTCCACTCATGCTCGGTTACTGTCTGGAAAATGTTTCTCCATGCGTAACTGGATTTCGTATCCCAGTTGCGTAGATCGATGCTCATGCTGTTGATCACTGGATTGTCTGGTCCAGACTCGATGGTTTACAGACCGTCACCATATAGCTGGAATCTTGCTGAGTGCGGCGTTAAACAACAAATCAACCAAACGAAACAAAACTGGATTTAAATTATGATTTACGTTTCGATAACATGGACACTTGAATCAGATGATCGGATCATTGTACATGCGTATACTCTCCTCTTTTTCTGTCGATGTTAATTATGAACAGAATTATCGGCTATGGCTAAAGATTATCCAAAACTGCTTGACCCAAGCAAATAAAATGGTCGCACAAGCGCCGTGAAACTGACGTCACCCATATTGGCATAAGCGTTCAATACGAAGAGCCTTCATGCTGAATTGGTAATTTCTGTTCTTAATATGATTCCAAAATACTGCTGAAGAATTTTTGATTTCTTTAACTCTCTTTTCATAATCTTCAACACAGCATTTTGGAACATTTGTCGGAATCGTACAACATCATGTTCAGAAAGTATGTGACGGCATCTAAATGGCGACGAACAAACGGTCTTTGGTCAGTGAAGCAACTCTTTCGCATGATCATCGGCTCGTCTTTTGAATTGAGATGAATATCCCAGCTTTGATGTTGCTTAATTTGTTGACAGCAAACACTTCTCTGATGCAGCTGCATGCACATAATGCATAGATATTTATTCATTTGCGGTTTCATGCCAATAAAGCAAATATATTTCATTCGGGTCTGTTCTAAGGGGCATGATGGTGCCCGCTGCTCAATTTGAGTAACATTTCATTATATAAAAAAGACACTTCAGAGATGAGATTACTAGAAAAACGCAGAAATAAAGTAACAAAGCTACAAAATATTGGGAAATGTAAAAGAAAATAAATTGAACAGCTGTAATTGATTAGAGACCTCGGTTTCATTGCTCTGGACCAGATTTTACGGACGAGATGAAAATCATTACATCCGGAAGCCTGAAAGGGTTAACGAGATGTCGTAAGGGTGAGTGTATTATGGCATCGTGATGGGAAGCATCCTTAAACTCATGAATGTGGGAGATTATGAGCAAATATATTAACGTTTGGAGCGAAGCCAGTGGGGTTAATCGTTTTATATTTCAGAAAACACATTTGAGGAGAAATTGTGAATGCTGAACAGTTGTTCCTTAATTTTGGTAATTTGCCTCGATAGTAAAGGTTCTAACCTCCTTGGCTCTACGCAATAATACCATCTTAAGGTGTGTGTCGCTTGTACTGGCTTTGATGGGTATTTATCAAGACATTTTGGCAAACATTTTAATTGTATATATTAATGGCAACGTGTATTGCATAAAGACAAATTCAGAAATTTTATCCTGATGTGATTATCAAAATACGTTGGATGCAGGTTGATCTGAAGCAGCAAATATCAAGTGAGTGAGTTAGTATGGTTTTACGCCGCTTTAAGCAATATTCAAGCAATTTCACGGCGGTGGGCACCACAAATGGGTTTCACACATTGTACTCATGTGGGGAATCGAACCCGGGTCTTCACCCGTAGGTTACCCCACCAAAAAGAGGCCGAGTTCTTGCTGGCCAACGAGATGATCACGAATCATCACGTTTCGGCATGTAAAATATTATGTTTATGTTAAATTTATCATCCTGTAGATAAACACATATGTTCTCGCTGGATATTTTAATCTTTAACGTGAAACAATAGAATGTGCATATCTGATACAGCTAATAGGGCACTTGTTTTCAATAAAAGTGAGTGAGTAGATTTGACTTAAGGAAGCTTACTACATTTTGTGGCTGGGAGGTGGTGGGGTCGGGGAGGCCACATGAAGTACATGTACTTGAAGAACCAAGAGACGGGGCGGATCTGTCATTCAAATCTACGAACACAGGTTCCTGGAACGCCTAAGGGAGGTAACTCTGCAAAAAGAAATATGAAGCACCTATGTCCCTTTTTCAAAGAAGGAATAGGCTCGATCACGTAATATGAAGAGAAACTGATTCTAGTTCCTGCCTTTCTGGGCATTACTGCGCATTATCCCGTTCAGAAGTTGAATAGATTTGATAAATTTGATAAATTCAGATTTTAAAAATGTCATGAGGGAAATATCGGGAAGAAACTACTTTTACAGAAACATCCGGTTGCTGAAGATTTTCATGATAAGAAGGCCAGACAATTTAGGTAGGTCTGGCACATTTTGAAAACAGATTATCAGTTAATAGTGTGATTAACAGACAGATAAACCGATGGATTGATAGACAGATGGACAGGTTGGGCAACACGGAAGAAGATGAAGAATTATATCGATTGTTGAGAAGAGATTTGTAGGATCGGAGATTGCCCAAGTGCGCCCTCTCAGTCCGATTGTGTTATCGGAATGTTCTAATTGACTGTTTAGTCTCAACATCTCAGGAGTCTGATCTCTGCTGGTCTTAGAGAAGAACAGGAGGTTCACATAAATCACTGTCTGCCTCTGATAACACCTGTGTTCACGGGAAGGTGAACTCGTCCTAGTCAGCTAGTGATCATAATCATTGTCTGGTCGGAGTTAACTTCACTTGCATCGAAATTTACATTAGGCAACTGATTATTTATTGTTTTTGATTCCCGACGGATCCCAGAAACGCCTGTTTATATGACATTTTAGAATGCTCATATTGGTAATTGTTCCTCATTTTAAGAAATATTTTTCCTTCCACATCTTTAATGTTTTATCATCTTAACGTTGGGCGGCATTTTAACGTCATTTGGTATGACAAGGTCAGGGAATCGAACTATAACCCTTCTTCTCTTGGGGCAAACGCTTGTTCTCGTTCACCATAGCTAGTGGTGTTTGGGAAATTGAAATACATGTATATATTGAAAGTCATTGTGAAGAGAAGCAAGAAGCTAATGACAACATTGTGCGATGTTTTCACTTTTGATTCTTTTACATATTTGAATATTTTTTATTAATATGTCTGAAGGCACTGAGATATTGGATACTAATATCATTGGATTTATTGTAATAATGCGAGTAATATGTTTAAAGATTATAAAAGATTATATTTGATTATAATATTATGAATATCAAAATAGAACGAATTCACAATACTTAATAATATAATAATTCAGTTTATGAACCTCTCTAATTTCTAGCTAAGTGCATTAAATCCTTGTTTAAAAGCGTACACATTTTCAAAGACGATGGAAAACGGAACACCTGTCACGCACGTGTTGTGTACGTACAAGTAATCATATATCAAGTAGTTATTTGTATTGGTAGTCAATTAACGGAATCAGATAAATATAAACCTAACACACTGTCCAGATCAATGTGAAACTATTGACATAATAGTAATAACTTAGGACCTGAAAAAATATCATGTTGCCCTCATTGACTAGATAAACACAATTCAACACACAGCTGAGAAAACTTGGCTGGAACGGGAGGCGTGTGGTTAACCTGTTGTCGAGTCCAGAGAGGCTTTGATTTCCTATTGATTAGCTCTATACCTTCGAAGTGTTGATTTAACATGGTTTCATATAGACACAGCTCTGATCGAATGATATCCCATGTCAATGTCTATCCCGAGAACTGTTCCACGCAGTGTAAGTGTTTTCTGAGAAAATGGGTACCAAATAGAAATACTGAGTCTTTCAATTTTAGTGCACAGGACGTTTCGTTTGTAATCCCACCGATTGGCATTTTGTCCCAGAAATATGTGTCTTGTATTCACACATCTAAAAGATGAAAATTGGAAAAGAGGCAAGAAGTTTTCAATTTCAGTATTTGAGGCAATCTAGTATTGTCTATCATATACGAATTTTATTTCTAGTGTCTTTGACACACACAAATTATTCTGTGCATTTTAAAACGGTGGACACGAAGAGTTTATTCCGTGCGATATCCAAATGTGCAACCCTGTCATGTAATGTGACGAGTTCATGGCATGACGTCGACACCACAGAGAATGACCACCTGAAGTCGGTGATCTGAACCGAGCAGATAGTAACATCAACAGGGGTTAAAGGTGGATGTTTAGGCCACAGTTGAACTGGTACAATGACCCATAAATATAAAATACGTGCTGCACGTCACACCTCAGCCCCTCATGTGTCTGGTCAAAGAAAATGAATTCCTCCATCGTACATGAAACGCCTGCTGTCTAAAAACAATGTCTGCCAGATGAACATATCTAAAGTGGGTTGAGCAATAAGATCGAGGTAAGATAATTGAAGCCGTATCAATCCAGAGGTAGTTCTTGTATTGAACAAGACGATTCCCAGACCACACGTAGATTGTTAAAGAACAATTTTACCAATTCCTTATGTAGTCAAATTGTACTTTAAAGTCCGTTCCTGACGTCATTACCCTTCTATAATGACTAAGGGGTGTAACTTGCCTCTCTTACAGAACCCAGAGTATATATTTCACGAACGATTTACCCTCATTTCCCTCTCCTCTCGGTTTTAGCCTCAGCAGCCAATACTCATCTACATTCCAGCTCTTTGATACTTCAAAACTATTGTTATAGAATCATTATTTTCGATCTCTTTGAGTAAAAATATCATCAAACATAAAATCTTTGGGGACTATATATCACTGTACCTTAAATGATATAAATTCAGTTGTAAAGTGGCATTCGTCTTATGTAGCCATACGTCATCATGTTCAAGGTGACGACGTTCTCTCGGGTTAAA